TATAATGTTTTATTTATTTGTCTTTGTTTAAACTTTTATTGTCCATTCTAGTGGTCACAGGATGGAAAAACAGACATGATAAGAATTAAGTTAACAGCATAACTCTAAAACTTACTTCCAGGTATAACAGTGAATCAGTCAATCAATAATGGAACCATGATGCCATATAGTCACCCTAAATAACAACTAAAAATTATTTTAAAATGTACTTAAAAAAATACTCATCACCATTGGAGCAAAGGATTTTAATTTATATTTCTTTTGGCCACGGGACTGTTAAATCTTTGCCCTGATGGAAGGATCTCAAATTTAGTGTGAAGTGGGTGAGTATGATCCTTCCATGTTCTGTTTAATTTTGTATTTATTGCATTTATATTTATTGTACAGCACTTTGGTTTTCATAACCAACGATTATGAAAAAAAAAGATAATCAAAACAAAATTAGTTCAAGTTCAATAAATGCACGATGATTCCAAAGTCTGTCAGCAAACTTATGCAGTACACTTTTATGCAATGCAATGGGAAAAAAAAAATCTCCACCTCTGCAATGATGTTCAGGTCAGAATCTGTAACGATGCAAGCCATCTCAATAATCCGGTCCTTCTCTATATCCAGCCCTGTCATCTGAATCAGGAAGTACAGTGGAATTAATAAGCAACTTTGAAAACTAGTCAATCCCATAAGAGCACAATCACTGTGAGGACATCGGCCAAAAATGTATCTGTAAAAACTTCCTGGAAAAAAAATTCCTGCGTAGGGTGGACCTAAAATCAACGACAATGTGTAAAAAATGGTAAACAAGCAGGTCAGCTGGTCATAAACTGCAGTAACCATTCTAAACTCTAAAAAAAGTTTTGACATGAATAGATTGTGCTGGAGTTGCTATATAAGCACACACACACACACACACACACATATATCATTTTGAATCTTTCACATACTGTATATTTTGAAAAAACATGCAAATTCATTCAGCATTCAGCATAAAACTTGATCATACAGGCGTGTTTTGTCATGTACGTTAGGCCTAACGTTTCGTTGAAAAAAAAAATCTTGATTTTTGACTTAAAAGCGACACAGTTCGATCTTTTAAACAATGTATTGTACTGTTTATTGTGTTTATCTGCTGCTGTTCACCTCCAGATCTACCCAGACCATCCGCTGCGCCAAAGACTGTGACATCTTCCTGCCGTGAGGTCGTCTTCTTGACATCAAACCCTTAACGAGCACAGAGGTACACGGACTGAAGAGAGAGAAGTTGTGGGCTGTAAACACCGGTAGGGGTGCTTTAACCCGCTGTGATGCCACACAAACTCGAGTCAGGACTCTGAATACAGAAACACACGCCGCGCTCCACATGTGTGTCCGCATACTGCCGTCTTCCGAACGAAAGTGTCGTAAATACCAGCGCGGCGCAACAGTGAAGGCAGTTCAGCGGCAGACACGTTGATAAGTGAACTCAGGAGCGGAGCAGTTTTTGTTACTTTTTTTTTTTGGACAAGAAATGCATTTATTAAGACGCGGAGCCACCGTATCTCTTTATGACCACATCAAAAGGGAGACTTTTCAGATGCGCACTTCAACTTCGCCTCAGCACCAGGCGCAAGTCAAACGAGCGCGGAAAGGAATATGTGCCAACTGAGCTTCAGTAGAACAACAGTGAACTGCGGTCTGATGAGATGTTGTAAGCTATATGTCAGTAAAACAAACTTTCCTCTCCTGTCCTGACAGCTGTTTTACCGTGCTCATGGCGCACACTTCAAAGAAGGGTGGGACATTCGCTTTCAGTGCTATCAGGCTAAAGTTAGCATTTTCCAAGATCTCCTATTGTACCTTTAAGTCATGAAATTACCAAAAAAGGCGATTAGTGCATTCATTTATGTATAGCATCACATTAAAGAACGTCTCTCAAATGCAAAATATATGCTATATATACTAAAATATTGTGCAATTCGAAATCACAATATACAATATAGGCCTACACAATAAGGCGCAAGCTGTTTTTATTTTTTATTTTTTGTAATTTAATGCACAAGTAAATATGAACACTGTGCATTTATACTAGAAAACATGCGCTATTTTTATTTTTTATTTTGTAAAGTACAAACGAAGATGAAACCATTTAAATGCATAAAATAACTCATTTTACATTCTGGATTTATGTGCTGTTGACTTCCGTTTTGTTTTTTGTTTTTTTTTACCAATTCTTATCACTATCTGCATGTCTCATCAATGAGTATGCAATGATGGAGAACAAGCTTTTGGGGGTTTTGAGAACCAGAACCAAGCTGACTAAGCAATAAAGCTAGAGAGCCCCTTTATTAAAATACCTGGAGGTGGGGAATAATACACAAATTGTCATATTCACTCAGCATTACTTGATCTAATTCACAAATATCTCAAATACAATTTAGTAGAAATTAATTGTATTCAGTTGTGTTTTAGGCACTAAAACAGTCCAATACTTTATAGTCAATCACATTTTTATATTGAAATAATGAAGATTTCTGTGCCACCCCATCTGGTTGCTGGCCACCCCTATAAAAACATCCTGGCTCCGCCACTGAGTGAACTCCGTGGAAACAACAGAATACACACTTTAGTTCAACCCTGGTTCAACTCTGCTCAAATACTGGATAATAGAAATGATAACTAAAGTTTTTTTTATTTTTTTTTATTAACTCTTTAAATGTAAAATATTTTCTTTTAATTTAGAATACACACACACACACACACATACATAATTTTAATTAAACATTTTAATAGAAATCATAATACGTGTGTTCTTTTCATTTATATATTTTAATAGAAATCTCTCACACACACACACACACACACACAGAGAGAGAGAGAGAGATACTACGTTTTAGTAGAAATGATAATATGTATCTGTGTGTTAATACATAAAGTAGTAGTAATGTTTTTTATTTCTTTAGGTCTTTAAATAAATATAAAACACATAATATTTTAAATGTATATATGTATATATTTAAAGACTTATGTTATGGTAGCTACATATAAACTGTATATAAGCATTGCACTTTTAAAATCTGTATCTGATACCACATGGACAAAACATTCACTATTATTAGTATAATATTAGTATAGATGCAGTAACGCACATCGGCCATGAGGTGGCGCAGATGGACCATCACTCGAGCTGAATAAATACAGCAATATGGAAATTATGGCACATTCCATACACATGGGTATATCATTCAATATCTTGAAATCCAAAAGTCCAAAGTTTAGGTTTGCATGGTCTAATTTAGTATTTAATGAGCTTATCTTTGACAAAATGTTGTCAGGAGGAGATATTGCTTCATATTTGTGCACAGCCACACAGACTCTAATAATCAGACTTAATGTTCGTCTTAATGCCCGGTGTACATCATTTGGCGTGTAATACAGCTTTTACGTTCAAATCAAGTGACATGGTCACCTAATCAATTCTGTAGTGTCTACCGAGCCTGTCGTGGATATGAGATCTCAACTCTAACACTAATAGCCAGACAGGCCTGTAAACATCATATTTCAGCTCTGACACAGATAAGAATTTAATGGCTTGGAGTCACCCTGTGAAGTAATCTGTGTGATAAAAGCGAGCGGCCTCATTCAGACCAGAGTCTGACGGGAAATAGAGGGAGAGCAGGAGAGAATTAGGCTGGAGATGATGTCTTTCCTCTTTTCTCTCTGATGGTTGTAGTCTAATAAAGGCAGGAGAATAATTAGCAGAGTCGTACAGACGCAACGCTGCTGATGGCCTCCCTCGCCGTCTGATGGCACTAGAGTAATGCGGCATGGGAAAGGCCTCATGATGCGAAGACAGGCTTCATTATTCCTATCCCTCAGTTTCTTTCTCGCGCAAACACACACTTGCACGCACAAATTCAAACAAGCGAACTGGAAAAAAAAATGATGAAACAGAAGGTAACCTGAGTTCAGGGCAAGATAGCCCCACCACCCCCTTAATATTGACTTCTTCTGTTATTCAATTGCAGAGCATTAATGTCCTGAAAGTAAGGCACTCACATTTCAACGGGCAAACACCTCTTTGAATATCTTAAATAGATGTTAAAGAGATTTGCACTATTATTGAGTCCAAGTTTTTATTTTTATATGTTCTGTTTTCATTTTAATTTTAGGTAAAGTTTTTGTAATTTTATGTGATTTTGTCATTTGTAGAATTTCTTTTTAAATATATGTCTATGTAGTTATACATTTTTTATTTTAGTTATTTTAGTAGGCCTTTATCGAGTTAAACTAAAATAATATACCGTAGTTTGGCAACTAGCTGAAATAAAAAAAAAGATATTTTATTTTATTTTATTTTATTTTAGTGAATGTTTTATTTCAAGTAACAAATATTTAGTTTTTTTTATGATTTTAGTTTAAGTTTTAGTTAACTATAACAAACCTAAATATTTAAGATTTTTCAATCCACACTTCTTTTGTTTAAAAAAAAAAGTTTATATAAAAAAAGTTGAAATACTGTTTAATATTAATAGTTTCTGGGAAAAGTTGTTACAAACATAAAAAATAAATAAATATATATATTATACATTTTTTAAAGTGTGAAATGTGTATCAATGTTAAAAGTTTACTGTTTTACCTGTGCTTTTATCCAAAGCCACTTAAAGTACATTGCATTCAAGGTATACTTTCCCTGTGAATCGAACCCAGGATACAGGATGGAGATGCACATTAGATTAGTTCAACTCTGTGCACTTGATGAAAAATGCAAATATTAGCAGCGTTGGCGTTTTAAAAAGGGCCACGCAGGTCATGTTAAAAAACGACCCTTCATGTCCAACATCCTGGAAGATGTTTGGGGTTGAGCCATGTCATTACACAGGGGCTCAAAGTGATAATCCAGCAAATGGATTTAAGCTCTTGAAAGCTACTAGTGCATGTCCTAATGCATCCGTCACTTCTGAACTCTCGCCAGATAAGAGGAAGGAAAGCGTTGGCTGCAGCCATAAAGTGGACAGACTAATGCAGGCCGGGCGTCTGATATCATCCACAGCACAGAACAGCTCACCCACAAACTGCCACTGTCACGAACAGTCACCGCACATATCAAAATGATGGAGACATTTATTTTAAAAGCATATCTTTCCTCCTGAATAAATGCCTGAAGTTCCCAATTCTAAACTTTTTGGCTGAGTCTCTGTTGACCTGGATGATTTGGCCACAACTTATTTCTAAAATCATAAAATCGACAGGCTGAAGTCTGAAGTGCTTTCCACTCCAAAGAATACAAGGTGCAAGGTCACAGGAACCCATTAAAAGTGTAAAAAAACAATCCCAAATGATTGATTTTCAGAGAGTCGGCTGTGCATCTTACTGTAAGGTGTAATTGCGGTGTGTTTGCGTTCAGAGCCGAGTGCTACATGGAGGGCGGATGTGTTGTAATGTTTTTAAGTTGATTTGTTGATCTTTTATCTTTAAAGGATTTTTGCAGGAAGGCTGTTTATGGTTCTTGAAATGCTAGTTCAGCTCTTCACTGACACTTGAAGGGATAGCACTACATTACACAATAGCTTTGTGTGAGGAAAATAACCACATACAGTCATAGAGGTTTGCAATGACATGAGTAAATGATGACAGAATTTTCATTTTTAGGTGAACTATCCCTATAATGAGGCTTTTTGGATCACTCCTTTCCCCCTAAACCCTTTGGTCCTTAAAATCAAGGTTTTCTCAGTGCAATAATGACATATATATATATATGTAATTGTTCTGTTCGGCTGTCACTGTGGGCCAGTGTTTCTTGCACTGCTTTTCATGAGCGGCGCTCCCCCCTGCTGAAGCTTCAGCGCCTAAAAATCATATTTTACCTGAGCTGTCTGCATTGAATGTGATGCAATAATAAGACGTCTACCGCAAAATAATGGCTAGAAGAGTATTTCTAATGAGTTCCATTTGCAGGCTGAATGCGTAAACAAAAATACAAAGCGACCAGCGTGGTCCAATTCAAGTACAAATTGCTCTTATGAGTCAGTACTTTATGGTGTGTGTGTATATACAGTATATATATATATATATATATATAGTGAAAAAGAGCTGTCAAATCAGTAGATAAGTGATCTAGTAATGTACCAAAAAGTTCCGCAATTGAGTTCTTTTGTTGCATTTTTAGTTTTTAAAGATGTACGTTCCATAACGTTCCACAATAGCTAATAAAAAAAAAATCACACATAAAGCAGATAAAAAAAAAAGAAAGAGTTAAGACTAACATTTTTGAAAAGAAAACCTCATGGTTCTTTTAAATCAATAAGCGAGGGTCATTCCCATCATAGGCCTATAGTTTGCAGCTGGTAAAAATAAACTGCGGTACTGTTTCATTTTTTAATAAATAAATATATACCATCGACAAGCATAAGTAAGATTAAAGAGAATTACCCACAGTCATGGGACTGGAACTTTAAACAGTGTTTG